GGGCTTTGCGTTTGTGAAGTCGCAGTTCGTCGTGGTGCATCAGAGGCTGGACCAGATTGAAGCTAGTTCTAGTCACAGAGACGAAGACGAAGAGGAAGATTCTGAAGAGGCCGAAGAGTCGGAGAGTGAGGAGTTCTAGTTTGTATTGTGGTAACCCCGTTCGCTTCTTTCTTGTTGTTTCTTTCTTGGCCGTTGTTAGCTTGGTGTTAGGTTGTTGTGTGCTTTGTGTGCTTGCTTGTTTTGTTTGTTTCCTTGTTGTTTGGCTTGTGAGTAGTTGGTTGTTGTCTAGAAGTTGGTGGTTGTATTGAGGTTAGAGTTCTTGATGCTCAATCTATCCGTTTGTTGACCTCTTGCCAATCCTTGAATTCGTAATGTCTTCTTCTTTGCTTTGGAACCCTTGTGAGTACTTTTGGAGTTTTTGACCAAAAGGGATATTCTTGAAATTTCTTGTCACAATTTCATTTCCTTGTTAACATTCGCTTTTAATTCGTTGTGCCCAAGTTTCGGAGACGAAACTTCTTTGAAGGGGGAGAGGATGTGACACCCCAAAAATCCACACTTCAATCCATGAATTAATTGAGTAATTAATTCTATTCCTTTTGAGGAATTGATTCCTAAAATCCTGATTTTTAATACTCAAGGACTAGTATTTGACTAGTCAATCTTTAAGTTGTGTTGTACCTTGTGCTTTGAGGGGAGTTCCTTTGTTCCTTACACTTTCTAAGGGTTAGTAAGGGTATCCTTGTCTTTTCACCAAGAGTTAGTATTGTAACCTAAACCTAGAAGACTTCTTCATTTCATCCCTTACAATTCCTAGAAAATATCTCTACCTTCTCTCTAGAAAAGAAGTGTAGCTTATTCTTCAAGCCAAGTTGAGACCCTTGTCAAGATTCCAAGTTTTGCTTCCAAGATTCAACCTTTCATCTATTTGGGCATCTAGAAGGGTAAGATCTAAGCTTGTCTAGTCTTTTTTGTTCCATCTTAGTTGTCTTTTTCTTAAAGGTAGGATCTTTATGATCTTTTGGTTTGATCTTGAAGTGGGTTTGAGAAGTGAGCCTAGTGGAGAGCTTGTTGTGGTGTAAGAGAAGTCTTTTGGTCTTCAAGAGGTAACCCATGCTCTACAAAACCTATTTTGCTTACCTATATGTGATTTCTTGGATTCTACTTGTTCTTTGCTATGAAATGTGAGGGTTTATGCATTTATCTTGTGATATTGCATATCTAGAGCTTGTGTTTAGGATTCCTTTGTGCCATTGCTTGGCATTTTCCATGATTCAAGTAATTTTGTTGTGTTGGGTGAGATTTGGCATGTTTTGGACTTGAATTTGTGTTTGGAGATGAAAATCCCCGAAGGGATTTATTGTGGAACAGGGATGTTCCCGCTGGTGGAACGGCGGGCGGGGCACCCCCCTCCGACCTACCCGCGGGTACATAGGCCTGTGGGGAGGTGTTCCCGCGGGCGGGACCACGGGTGGGGTAATACCCGTGGGTCCACCCGCGGGGAACAAGATGGTGTTCGTTCGGGATTTGTTTGTCTCGGTATTTGATCTTTTGGCTTCCCGATGTTCTTTTGTGGAACTATTTGAGTGTCTTCTTGATGTTTCGTAGGTCTAGAACTATATGGTAGGTATCCATGTAGGACTTTGGTGTCTTGAATCGTGCTAAGTGTTCAACATTGTGTTTCGTTGAACCAAGAATTGTCTTGTGTGTTCCTCGGAACTATCTTGTGTTTCCCCATTGTTAAAGCATGCTAGTTCGTTGTCTTAATGCTAGCGTGTGTGTTGTTCGTACCTTCCGTTTGGTTGATGATAACTTGTGTTATTCATCGTTGTTGTTGTTGGGTTGTGACCCGTTCCTTGATTGAGTGTGTTTCATACCTTCGTTGTAATTCGTTGTTTGACTCGTGTGAGTTGTGGTGCGTGTGTGGCTCTACCTGGATTGCACGATTAATGGTATGGGACACTAGTCACCAAGGTATTGCAGCGGTCCTCGTGGTGGCCGTGACGTGATTATGGAGTTGTGGCCTGAGTGATGGGTCCACGTGATTGGGGGATAACATGTGTTATCCAGGAATGTGTTGCCGTGATTGGTGGTGGTTCGTTGGTGGTTATAGGTGGGAGACGACGGTCCTGGCGGAATAAGGTTGGACTTGGCTGTACAGGGGATCCTGGAGGTAATGGTTGGCTTGAAGGTACGAGGTTGGGGGTAACCATAAGGTTGGAACAGGGCATAAGGAAGGCATACCAAACTCGCGATGGGTGATGTTGCGTGGGCTTGTAAAGCTAGAATTGTGTGATCTTCTCTCGTGACGTGTGTAGTCACGGAGACTTGTGGTGTTTTGCCATGTGTTGCCGTTGGGTGAGTCTTTACCTTGTGTGTGGTTAACCTTTATGGTTTGGGATGTGTTCCCGGTATTATCCTTGTGAGTGATGAGTCTTGTGTTGTCTTTTGATCTTGGTTTTTAACTTATATACTTATGTATTCCGTTTCGAAAATGGTTTTATATCTTATATCTACCTATGTATTATACTTAACGGTATTGGTGGGTTACCAGCATTATTCGCTGACCGGGCGTCGTCCCAATGTTTATCTTTGTATCTTTCAGGTGATGTTTAGACGAGCGCGATGTCTAGAGCCTGGTAGCTTAGCACCTTCACCTTTAGACTGTGATTTTTCTAGCCTGTGCGCCAATGTTTTTAGACTGTTTAAGATTGATGTATTGAGATAGTGTTATACACTTGTAGATTGTTTGCCGTAGCGTTTACCGTGTGAGGTAGACGTGGCGTGACACCCCGTTGGATTTCTTTTATCCAGTTTCGTTTCATCTTTCGTTGTGCTAGTTTTGTCATTTAATCTGCATGTGTTAAGACTTTTATATAGGTCTTGTTTGGGGGGTGTTACAACTACTCACCCTGATTCCACAAAATTTAAAATACGAGAGGTTACTAATCTGCTTGGTGGCTCTTTTGCTCAAGTATCTGATTCCAGTCACTCTGTGTCTCCTGTACACTCCCCATCCAAGGAGACAAGAAGATCAAAGAGAAAGAATATACGTGTCAAGGTTGTGGTTGAGTCTGGTGATGACACTGCAGATACAGATCAACCTGAGAAGAAACGGAAGTCGAGTGAGCCTGTGAAAACTGAAACCAATACTCATGTCCAACAAGTGTTTAAGACCTTAAGGTCTTCTGTCAAGCAAAAGAGTTCTATTGCTGCTCAAACTACTGCTGTTCCACCATCCTCTTCCAGAAAAGGGAAGCCTGCTACTCGTGCCAGAGGAAGGAGTGTTACTCCTGAAGTTCAAGCTGTTGAAAGCTCTGACTTGTCCATCTACAGACCTCAGTTCGTTCCCCTACTGCTCAAGCCAAGTGGTCTACCATGGTACGAAGAGATCTGATTGTTCAAAGAGCTGTGGATGAAAATCAGATGAATTCTGACTGTGATGTTCTACCGTTGCTGAAAGAAGTCGGTCTGCTGAAGACTGTTTCTGCCATCTGTCCTTACTCAAAGTTGCTCACCTATGAATTTTATTGTAATCTAAATGATGAGGTGGACAATTTGTCTGGAGTGCGACCAATGCAGATCTTCATTCGTGGGAAGTGGTATGTGTTTGGCCCTGATGTCATTAACGGGTACTATGGCCTGCAAGGAGTCCAAGATGACGCTATCACTGACTGGGATGCAGTGGCCAAGATGATAACTGGTGGACAAGCTGACAAATGGCCCACTGGAGATAATGACACTTTGCCTAGCTCGCAGCTTACCTCCAAATATGTGATCCTTCATCGTCTTGCTTTGCACAACTGGCTTCCTTCAGCTCATTTCCACACTGTTGGCAAGCAATTGGCCAGTCTCCTATTCAGAATTGGAACGAAGATAACTATTGATCTGGGGGCGTGGATATATTATCACATTCTCACTCTGATCCACCCGAGAGAACAAAAGGTACGGCTGCCATTCCCAAATTTGATTTATGGTATTCTTACATCTCAGGGACTTGAGCCTATGGCAAGTGAGGTGATCAGTCCGACCCTTCCATAAACGGTTTACTGACGTCTATTATCTAGAGATCATATCTGTGATGTTACGCCGGTGAATGCCCCTTCCAATTCTCAGGCTGATGCAGTGACGGATGACTCTCCACATGCGCGAGATCTTCAACTCTCCATCCAACTGAATGCTAGAGTTTCTAAGCTTGAAACAGTCCATGGCATCATTGCTAAACAGCTAACAGGGGCTCGGACGGAATTAGCCACTGTTCTTCTTCGATTAAGCCTGACTGAGGCCGCGACTGCTGATCCAGTGAAGTCTGACAGTGAGACTCCCTCCAACGCTTGACATGGCTTTGGCTCTCCTTTGGAAAAAAGGGGGAGTAATATGACTCAGGGGGAGTTTGTGTTTGGAGTTGTTTTTGTACCTTCTGGCCCTGGCTGGGTGTTTTTGTGTTTGTGATGGCATCTGGTTAAACAATGGTTTTCTTGACTTTGTTTTTGTTTCAGCATGATGTGTATGCTATGTTTCTTTGTCTGCTTTGTAATCGAATTTTGTTTTGGATAATCCTATCTTAGTCGTTTTGCAGTATTATATGTTTTTTAAGTAGTCGAGTTGTTTTGCCAAATAATAGTCAAAGGGGGAGTTTGTTAGTGTTTTATTTGCTCAAAAAACCCCAACTTATAATTGGCAATATTATTATGGCATACTAAGATAGGATTAGCTAAGTGTCAGTTTTGGTCTACAGGGGAATAATTAATTAGAGACAACAACAGAGGGACTGACACTAAAGATCTGGTTTAGGAAGTTGATTTCTATAAGGCTGTACGCGGTATGAGCAGACAAGTTTGGAAAGAAGATCAACATATATATTCTGGAAAGGTATGGACCTAATCTTCAAAATTACATTCCTCAATTATAGTCCTGCCTTCTACAATCAAAGATATCTATGGAGAGTGTTTATTGATGGAACTATAAGTACTCTTATTCGACGAGAATTAGGGTTACGATCACACAGTTGTGGGAACAACTGAACAGAGCGTCACTAAAGTGGACGGCATCAGAGTTGGCTCTCCAAGTGAAGGGATTTCCTTGGACTTCTGGATGCGTGGCTCTCCATCTTCAACAATCCACTAAACCTGTGTAGACTGGGTACGTACCTTGTGTGGGGCACTTAGGTGAGATTATTATTTCTCTACCGTTGTACATTGGATTATGATTTAGTGGATTGGACGCTTATGTGATCGTCCCCCAGACGTAGATACATACTGTATCGAACTGGGTAAACATCTTGTGTGTTGGTGTGTTCTATTATCTCTTTCTTTTATATTTACCGTGATGTATCTTACTGACTGATCTCATCAACAAATCAGTCAATCGAATTCGTCAGTCTAAATACAGTAAACTTGACTAAGAATGAGGAAATGCAAAATTACAATCTGGAAGTCAAAAGACCAAATAGCGAGTCAAAAGAATCACGGCGAACAAATCCCCAACATCACCATATTACGTACCCGCGGGTAGGCCCACGGGTAGGCCCCTACCCGCGGTTCCGCCCGCGGGTACAGGCCGCCCAAGAAATGTGCCCCGCGGGTGGGCCTCCTACCCGCCATTCCGCCCGCGGGTACAACCTGTACCACAATACCACACTTCGCGAAATTCATCTCCAAACACAAATTCAAGTCCAAAACATGTCAAATCTCACCCAATACAACAAAATGACTTGAATCATAGGAAATGTCAAGCAATGGTACAAGATAACCCTAAACACAAGCTCTAGATATGCACTTTCACAAGACAAATGCATAAACACTCACATTTCATAGCAAAACACAAGTAGAATCCAAGAAATGACATATAGGTAAACAAAATAGATTTTGTAGAGCATGGGTTACCTCTTGTAGACTAAAAGACTTCACTTTACACCTTAACAAGGTCTTCTCAAGGCTCACCTTCCAAACCCACTTCAAACACAAACCAAAAGATCATAAAGATCCTACCTTTAAGAAAAGACACCTAAGATGAAACCAAAAACACAAGATGGACTTAGATCTTACCTCCTAGATGCCCAAATACAACTTGGCTTGGAAGAAAAGCTATTCAAAGGATAAGGAGGAGCATGTTGGAGACCTTCGGACGGTACTTCAAATCTTGAGGGAAAAGCAGTTGTACGCCAAGTTTTCAAAGTGCGAGTTTTGGAAGGACAGTGTAGCGTTTCTAGGCCACGTGATTGATAGATGCCCAAGATGTCGTCGATGAATACGATCACGAAATCATCGAGGTGAGGTTTGAACACCCTATTCATCAAGTCCATAAATACTGCAGGGGCATTAGTCAAACCGAATGGCATAACCGTAAACTCGTAGTGATCGCACCAAGTCCGAAACGCGGTCTTAGGAATATCCTTGTCTGCCACCTTTATCTGATGATACCCCAACCTCAAGTCAACTTTGGAAAACACTCCTGTGCCACGGAGTTGATCAAACAAGTCGTCGATTCTTGGAAGAGGGTACTTGTTCTTGATGGTGACTTGATTCAGCTCCCGGTAGTCGATGCACAACCTCATACTACCATCCTTCTTCTTTATAAACAACATCGGAGCTCCCCACGGCGACGTACTTGGTCGGATGTAACCTTTATCTAGAAGCTCTTATAGTTGGGTTTTCAGCTCTTGCATTTCCTTCGTTGCCAACCGGTATGTGGGCTTAGAAATTGGTGCAGTGCCCGGCATAAGATCCACCGAGAATTCCACTTCTCTCGTAGGGGGCATACCCGGTATTTCATCGGGAAAAACATTAAGGAATTCACGGACAACGGGGATGGTCTGAGCTACATCCCCTTTTGCCTTCAAGTTCTCGACCGAGCATAAGAACAATTCATTGCCTTTCTCCATGTACCTCTTCATCTTCATCATTGACACTAGCTTAATCCCGGGTTCTTCCGTTGTTCCCCGATAAGATACCCTTTTCCCACTGGGTCCTCGTAACACCACCTTCTGATCCTTGAAACAGGATTTGGGCTAGAAACCGTCCTAGCCAATCCATACCTAAGACCACGTCTATCCCGTCCAAGTCGTACTGGATTAGATCGCTAGGAAACTCTTCTCCCTTGATGTTGATCTTGATGCCTTCGAAGAGATGGTCACACGTCCTAACTTCTCCCGATGCTACCTTCACGTTAAACTCCACTCCAATGCCCCCAGATAAACCCAACTTCTTCATGAGTCCGGGTGACACGAACGAGTTAGATGCTCCCGAATCGAACAAGATCGTTACCGGGACGAATTGCACGAGAAAGGTTCCAACCACTACATCACTGTCACTTGTTCGAACTTCACTTAAGGTAAGCATTCTCTCCTGGGGTGATCCTTCCGTCGGTTGATGAACCTCTATTCTCCCATTCCCTCTTAAATCCCGGGATGCCGGCAAGGTAGATGCACTAGGACTAACTCTTGTGTGGACGTGCCACTCCGGATCCACCGCTCAATCACCCCAGAAGCGTTACTAGATTCGGGCAACCGATATTTCTTAACCACTTCACTCATGTCTTCAAACGTTGCGGCACGCTGACGGGGAGGCATTGCAAACTTCTGCTACAACAACACGATTACCAAAAGATAGCAAATAAGCAAAGAATAGAAAGCAACACACAGCTCACCACGCAACCTAGAGTCCTAAGCCTAACACTTAGCTTCTAAAGGTCGCTTAAGGGTCTCAACCACACTTAGCCACTTAGAAAGTCTAGACTTAACTCTTCCTAGGCTCAAACCTAGGCTCTGATACCAACTGTAACACCCCCTAAAAGCACATGCTATAAAAAAACCTTAAAACAACTAAACAACTAGCACAACGGAAGATTAAAAGATAACTGGATAAACATGAATCCAAGTCATGGGGTGTTATGCCACGTTCACCAACAAAGATGAACGCTACGACAAAATCTGCATGGTTCACAACTATCGTAAATCTCACAAGTGTACAACTAGTTAGGCACACAGGCCATAAAACAAACGGAAGGAGCAATGTTATCGGGCACTAGACTGCGCTCTCGTCTAGACAATACATAAGTAAGGTATAAGTGGTAAAACCATTTTCGAAACGGAATACATATATATATAAATGTAAAACCAAGAGTAAAAGCCAACGCAAGACTCAACACTCTCAACAACAGCAACACGGGAACACATCCCAAAACCACAAGAACAACATGACTCACAAGAAGAGTCAAGGCATGATCTATCATCACACAATAGATCAAAACCCGACAAGCAAAACACAAAAGAATAAGACTCACACAACCGACAACACATGACAAGTCAACACATGCCTTTGTGACTACACACGTCACAAGAGAAGAACTCACCACAACGACTACACAAGCCCTCGTGACATCACCCATCACGAGTTGATATGCCTTCCCTATGCCCGGTTCCAACCTTATGGCTACCCCCAACCTTGTTTCTTCTTTCCAACCATTACCTCCAGGACCACTGTACTTCTTAGTCCAACCTTTTCCCACCTGGGACCGTCGTCCCCGACTAACGACCACCAACGAGACCACCAATTTCATAGTACCCAAGGTACCGTACAAACACACGCGGCGACACACGCCTTCCCAAGAAAATACGTGAACCTGACACACAGGTCACAACTCCATAATCGCATCACGGCCACCACGAGGACCGCTGCCGTACCTTGGTGATTAAGGCCCCATAAACCGAAATCGTGTAATCCAGGTACAGCCACACACGCATCACACCTCAATAGGAATCAATCAACGGATCACAACGAAGATATGAAACATAATCAATCAAGGAATAGGTCACAGCCCAACAACAACGACGATGTATAACACAAGTTATCATCAACCCATCGAAAGGTACAAACAACACACACGCTAGCATTTAGATACCAAACTAGCATGCTTATTAAACGGGTAAACCAAAGGTAGTTCCGAGGAACACACAAGACTCATCACGGTTCAACGAAACAAAATGTTAAACACTTAGCACGATTCAAGACACCAAAGTCCTACATGGATACCTACCATATAGTTCTAGACATACGAAACATCAAGAAGACACTCAAATAGTTCCACAAAAGAACATCAGGAAGTCAAAAGACCAAATACCGAGTCAAACGAATCACGGGGAACAAATCCCCAACATCACCATATTACGTACCCACGGGTAGGCCCCTACCCGCGGTTCCGCCCGCGGGTACAGGCCGCCAAAGAAATGTACCCCGCGGGTGGGCCTCCTACCCGCCGTTCCGCCCGCGAGTACAACTTGTACCACAACACCACACTTCGCGAAATTCATCTCCAAACACAAATTCAAGTCCAAAACATGTCAAATCTCACCCAATACAACAAAATGACTTGAATCATAGAAAATGCCAAGCAATGGCACAAGAGAACCCTAAACACAAGCTCTAGATATGCATTTTCACAAGAGAAATGCATAAACACTCACATTTTATAGCAAAACACAAGTAGAATCCAAGAAATCACATATAGGTAAGCAAAATAGATTTTGTAGAGCATGGGTTACCTCTTGTAGACTAAAAGACTTCACTTTACACCATAACAAGCTCTTCTCAAGGCTCACCTTCCAAACCCACTTCAAACACAAACCAAAAGATCATAAAGATCCTACCTTTAAGAAAAGACACCTAAGATGAAACCAAAAACACAAGATGGACTTAGATCTTACCCTCCTAGATGCCCAAATACAACTTGGCTTGGAAGAAAAGCTACTCAAGATGGGTTACCTCTTGGAAGCAACTCTTGAAGTCTTGGCAAGGCCTCAACTTGGCATGGAAGAAAATCTACTCACCTTTTTAGAGAGAAGGTAGAGCTAAATTTTTTGAAATTGTAAGGGATAGAATGAAGATGTCTACTAGGTTAGGTTACAATACTAACACCATGTGAAAGGTCAAGAATGCCCTTACTAACATTAGAAGATGTAAGGAACAAGGGAACTCCCTTCAAAGCTCAAGGTACAACTTTGACTTTGGGGTTGACTTGTAAATTACTAGTCCTCAAGTATTGAATTTCAGGATTTTAGGAATCAATTCACCAATTGAAATATGATTAATACTCAATTAATCCATTAATTGAATTTGGATTTTGGGGTGTCACATTGACGGTGGGAGTGCGTAACACCCCAGATTTTTAAAACATTTAAAAACTTATAATAAAGGTAGAATCTTATTAAATCCCAAGCTATAAATAAAAGTGTTCGGGGTGCTATGCCACACCTGGGCTAGAGAACCCAAGTGCACAGGCTAACTAACTAATATCCTCAAAGCGTAAATACGTAAGCGTGGCACGCAGGCCAAAAAGGGAAACTATCTACTTCTAAGTTCTAGCGCACTCCAGTGACTTAATCTTCTGTGCCTGAAAGCCAAATATATCTGTTCAGCGAGAGATGCTGGTAACCCACTCCAACGCGTTGAAATACAATACATATAGAGATATATATAGATATATGAAAACCATTTTGAGCAGGAAGATATATCCTACGAACTCTAGTTTTAAAACCGGGAATGACTCGACAGATAAGGCCAGACACAAGCAACAGTTTATAACGAGCATATACAGTTCACAACAGATACGGCAGATAAGGCAAGGTATAAACAATGATCATAACCCAACATGGACAATCCCCAACATAAATCTCAATGTCACATTCCCCAAGATACTTGTAATCACAACTCGTCCCTGTCACAAAACATAACACACTTTGTTGGCGCCACAGGACCAATCGCATGCCCATACATGAGGGTCAGCGCATATAGCTCTGACACGGCCCCGCAGCACCCTGCCCCGTATCGCAATACGGAGGGGTCGATCGCAACCGACCGATGAACCGCAGCTCATCATAGTGTTTGATCGCAACCAAACAGTGGACCGCAGCCCAAGAGGATGTCATCTGACCGCAGCCAGGAAAAAGGACGAACCGCAGCTCGTATAGAAACGTTTGATCGCAACCAAACGGTGGACCGCAGCCCAAGAGTCTCAATCTGACCGCAGCCAGCTTCTGAACCGCAGCTCAGGATAACCAATCCGATCGCAACCGAATTGGGGTAACACACACACATAACACATAGCAAGCACATGCAACCCACATTACACATTGGGAAGGGGGAGAAAGCGTATAACAAAACCTATGCGTGATCCATCACATACTAAGAATAGTCCTAAGGGGTTCATACTTCTTCCACCTAGGTCAATGGGATACCAATTCAACTAGCATGCAATATAATAGACTCATAAACCTACGAACGGTACCCGAAATATCAAACTAGACATAGGCACGATAAACGGAGTCCGTTGGGACACCACGGGGAACGGGGGAACATCAAACGGGGAAGCCGGGATCCCAAGGTGGGATAATTTCCAGCGGGTAGCCGGTGGGTGGGGGGGCCACCCGCCGGCTACCCGCTGCCGGGCGGTGTTTCTCGGCCGTGGGTAGGTGGCGGGTCCCCTACCCCCCACTGACTCTTTTCACACAATAACGTCCCGGGAACCTTTGTGGAACCCGAAACCATGCTTAGACACTTTACAACGCAACTAATAATTAACACGTAGACA